GGGGTTGCTGGGTGTGGACACAGGTTGGTGTGGGGTTGCTGGGCGTGGACATAGGTTGGTGTGGGGTTGCTGGGCGTGGACACAGGATTGGTGTGGGGTTGCTGGGCGTGGACATAGGTTGGTGTGGGGTTGTTGGGTGTGGACACAGGTTGGTGTGGGGTTGCTGGGTGTGGACACAGGTTGGTGTGGGGTTGCTGTGGTGTGGACACAGGTTGGTGTGGGGTTGCTGGGCGTGGACACAGGTTGGTGTGGGGTTGCTGGGCGTGGACACAGGTTGGTGTGGGGTTGCTGAGCGTGGACACAGGTTGGTGTGGGGTTGTTGGGTTGGGTGTGGACACAGGTTGGTGTGGGGTTGCTGGGCGTGGACACAGGTTGGTGTAGGGTTGCTGGGGTTGCTGGGGTGTGGACATAGGTTGGTGTACAGTTGATAGGCGTGGACATAGGTTGGTATGGGTTGCTGGGCGTGGACACAGGTTGGTGTAGGGTTGCTGGGCATGGACACAGGTTGGTGTAGGAGTTGCTGGGCGTGGACACAGGTTGGTGTAGGGTTGCCGGGCGTGGACACAGGTTGGTGTACAGGGTTAATGGGCGTGGACATAGGTTGGTGTGTAGGGTTGCTGGGCGTGGACATAGGTTGGTGTGGGGTTGCTGGGCGTGGACATAGGTTGGTGTAGGGTTGCTGGGCGTGGTGTACAGATTTGGTGTGGGGGTTGCTGTTGCCGGGCCTGTGGACACAGGTTGGTGTAGGGTTGCTGGGCGTGGACACAGGTTGGGGTTGTGGGTACAGTTTGCTGGGCGTGGACACAGGTTGGTGTACAGTTGCCGGGCGGGCACATGGACACAGGTTTGGTGTGGGGTTGCTGGGCGTGGACACAGGTTGGTGTAGGGTTGCTGGGCGTGGACACAGGTTTGGTGTGGACACAGGTTGGTGTTGCTGGGTGTAGGCTATTATTATATTTCTTGTCCTTCCAGTTATCCGCATGATTTCGGGTGTGATGGGTGAATTCTCACATCCTGGCACTGGGCCCGTCTTGCTGGGTCTGCTCTCACTATTCGGTATATACTCTCTATATACTGGCCTGGCGCACGTCTCCTCCACACTTGGCCTCCGTGACTCATTATTTCCGTGTCCCCCCCCCCCCTCGTCTCTTTTTACAATGTCTGTGGTTATATTAACCATGTGCTGCTCAGTTCTATACTTATAACGGTTCTATTCTGAGACGTGGCAGGTCCAGCCCCTCCGGGGGGGTTAATCCATTGTGCCAGATCATTAACTCTTTCCTTGCCGGATGGGAGGCGGTGGTGGGTGGGACACCCCCCCCTTCCCCGGCCGCTCCCCATAATGGATATCTGATGTACTCGTGACCACAAACCGACATGCAGACTAGAATTAATCTCAGACGGTACAAACCAAGTACATCATTGTTACTAACCGCGCACGCGGTGCGGGCTCTGTGCCACCAATGACTGGCCCCGCTGGCTGGCTGTGGATAGGACCATCACTTATAGAAAGGTCTGGGCAGCCGCCGTCCATGATAGGAACATTATAAGAAGGAAGATTTATCTATTGCCCAGTCATTGATCTGTCTCTAGATGTGATCTGCTGGGGTTGGATGAGCTCCCTCCCCCCCCCCACACACACAAAGGAACCGACAGAGCCAAAATGTGATGTCAGCTCCGCGGACCGCCAAAATGTGATGTCAGCGCCGCGGACCGCCAGCAGCCGCGGACCGCCAAAATGTGATGTCAGCTCCGCGGACCGCCAAAAGTTCCGAACTTAGCTGGAGTTCAGGAACCGCAACCAGGCAGACGTCTCTTCTGTCTGTATACAATGTGTAATATTCATCCCACTCTGTGATACAAGGGGTGATAATCATAGTACCCCCCTATTCAACAGGGTGTAAATACCCCCCCTTTATACAAAGTGTAATAAACCCCCCCCCCCACTTTACAGGGTGTAATAACCCCCCCCACTTTTTACAATGTGTAATATTCATCCCACTCTGTGATACAAGGGGTGATATTCATAGTACCCCCCTATTCAATAGGGTGTAATACCCCCCCTTTATACAAAGTGTAATACCCCCCCCCCCCCACTTATACAGGGTGTAATAACCCCCCCTTTATACAGGATGTAATATACCCCCACTTTATACAGGGTGTAATAACCCCTCCTCTATACAGGATTTAACAACCCCCCCCCCTTTTTACAGAGTGTAATAACCCCCCCCCCCTTTATACAGGGTGTAATAACCCCCCCCCCTTTATACAGGGTGTAATAACCCCCAATTTTATACAGGATGTAATACCCCCCCCCCCTTATAAAGGGTGTAATACCCCCCCTTTATACAGGGTGTAATAACCCCCCCTTTATACAGGATGTAATACCCCCCCTTTATACAGGGTGTAATAACCCCCCAATTTTATACAGGATGTAATACCCCCCCCTTTATACAGGGTGTAATAGCCCCCCCCCTTTATACAGGGTGTAATAGCCCCCCCCTTTATACAGGGTGTAATAACCCCCCTCTTTATACATGGTGTAATAACCCCCAATTTTATACAGGATGTAATACCCCCCCCTTTATAGAGGGTGTAATAACCCCCCCCTTTATACAGGGTGTAATAGCCCCCCCTTTATACAGGATGTAATACCCCCCCCCCCCCTTTATACAGGGTGTAATAACCCCCCTTTATACAGGATGTAATACCCCCCCCCCCCTTTATTTATACCCCCCCCTTTATACAGGGTGTAATAACCCCCCTTTATACAAAGTGTAATAACCCCCCCCACTTTATACAGGGTGTAATAACCCCCCCCTTTATACAGGATGTAATACCCCCCCCCCTTATAGAGGGTGTAATAACCCCCCCTTTATACAGGGTGTAATAACCCCCCTTTTATACAGGATGTAATAACCCCCCCCCCCCCTTTATACAGGGTGTAATAACCCCCCCTTTATACAGGATGTAATACCCCCCCCCTTTATACAGGGTGTAATAACCCCCCTTTTATACAAAGTGTAATAACCCCCCCCCACTTTATACAGGGTGTAATAACCCCCCTTTTATAGGATGTAATAACCCTCCCCCTTTATACAGGATGTAATAACCCCCCCCCCTTTATACAGGGTGTAATAACCCCCCCTTTATACAGGATGTAATACCCCCCCCCTTTATACAGGGTGTAATAACCCCCCTTTATACCCCCCCCACTTTATACAGGGTGTAATAACCCCCCCTTTATGCAGGATATAATAACCCTCCCCCTTTATACAGGGTGTAATAACCCCCAATTTATACAGGATGTAATCTACCCCATGGATCAGAAGTCCCCACCCCCCCCTGGAATGTTTGGCCTTGGTACAGACACACAAGGTGATACACACGAGCAGGGGCGGACTGACAACTCATGGGGCCCCTGGGCAATAGGGGATCATGGGGCCCCTGTGTGCTCGTCCACACTCAAACCACACCCAAAATAGCCTATGAAAGGTACCAGGGGCATCTCATGGGGCCCCTTACTGACCCCGGGCCTTCGGGCAGTGCCCGAGTTTCTGAATGGTCAGTCCGCCCGTGCACACGGGTTAAAATGGCAATGAAAGGTTAATGTCCCACATCTGTGGTTTTTGTAAATTGCAATTAGTGTCTGTATATAAATAGTCAATGAGTTTGTTAGCTCTCATCTGGATGCACTGAGCCATGGGGATCAGAAAAGAACTGGCAAAGTACCTGCGTAACAAGGTAATGGAACTTTATAAAGATGGAAAAGTATATTAAAAGATATCCAAAGCCCTGAATATGCCAGTCAGTACTGTTCAATCACTTATTAAGACGTGGAAAATTTGGGGATCTCTTGGTGCCAAACCAAGGTCAGGTAGACCAAGAAAGATTGCAGCCACAACTGCCAGAAGAATGGTTTGGAAGACAAAGAAAAACCTTACAGGTAACCTCAGGCTGCTCTGGAAAAATATGGTGTGGTTGTTTCAAGGAGCACAACACGACGATACTTGAACAAAAATTAGCTGCATGGCCGAGTTGCCAGAAAGAAGCCTTTACGGCGCCAAGGCCACAAAAAAAGCCCGGTTGCAATACGCCGACAATACCTTGACACACCTCACACTGTAATCTGGAGTGGCGAAACCAAAATAGAGCTTTATGGGCACAGCTATAACTGCTATGTTTGGAAAGGTGTCAACAAGAACTATAGTGACAAGAAATGCATCCCCACTGTGAAACATGGTGGTGGCTCACTGATGTTCTTGGGGGGGGGGGTGACCTGTAAAGGCACGGGGAATCTTGTGAAAATTGATGTCTAGATGAATGCAACATGTTATCAGAACATACTGGCAGACAATTTGCCTTCTTCTGCAGGAAAGCTGCGCATGGGACGTTCTTGCACTTTCCAGCACGACAATGACCCCAAGCACAAGGCCAAGTTGACCCTCCAGTGGTAACAGCAGAAAAAGGTGAAGGTTCTGGAGGGGCCATCACAGTCTCCTGACCTTCATATCATCGAGCCACTCTGGGGAGATCTCAAACATGCGATTCGTGGAAGACCACCAAAGACTTTGCATGACCTGGAGGCATTTTGCCGAGACGAATGGGCAGCTCTACCACCGGCAAGGATTCGGGGGCTCCATGGACAACCATTACAGAAGACTGACCGCTGTCATTGATACTAAAGGGGGCAATACGTAGGATTAGGAACTCAGGGGATGCAGACTATTGAACGGGGGGGGGGGGGGGGCATTTCATTGGTTGACTTGTTTTATGATTGGGCCATTCTGGTATCACCTCCAGGTACAGAATATGAGTCCCATAAGAAATGGGTTTTGCCGGCTCACTCGTGTGTTCTTTATATGGTCCATCCTGTATATTACCGATTCTTCAAACTTTCGAGCCCAACTGTAGGTGTTCTATATCTCTCTGTTAATGTATAATAATCCATCTGCCTCTCTATTATACAGGGTGTAATCATTCTTTCCTTTCTCCTATACAGGGTGTAGTCTTAAAAAAACCCTAACGTCAAACATGGTCACTGCGTGGAGGTGAAGGGCATCATTCCCGAGGGCTGTAAAGGGTAGGTCATGGTTCAAGCCTAGGCAGCCTATTATAAAATATATTGTCTCTGTATAATACAATCATCAGCCAAAAGCACAGTACAGTACATCCAACCTCCCTCACTGGGAATTTGGCGGACGTGATCCCTGAAATAAAAGCCGACGTTGGATGGTTTGGCTCCGAGCGATAGTGCAAACATTTGTCCTTCTATAAATGTCAACCCGGATAAAACATGTCTGATGACTTAGCCGCCATCATCTGACAAAGGACACCTGACAATCCTTTGACTCCAATGTATGATCCTCCTGCACCCGTCCTACATCCCTCCTCTTCAACATTCTCCATCCGTCTGATGGGCAGAGGTCTCGGCAATTTCCTCCTTGCCATGGTACATGTACCCACTGGAGGTCAGCTAAAAATAAAAAATCAATTTTATACAAAATTATGACTTAGCTGTTAATCTTTCTTTAGCATTTTGCTCCCTGGGGACCTCACAGGGCTTTAGCTACTGTTGGGTAGATATCCCCACATGGGAGAAAATATATATTTGAAATACTACAATTTTTGGCCGTACTCAATACATTTAAAAAATAATAATAATAATAATATTCTCCCATGTGACTAAGGAGCTCAGCTCACCTTCCCAGCTTTAACATTTAGTTCAGCTCCCCCTCCTAGTAGTCACTCCTTAGACCAGTGTTCCTTCTCCCTCCCACAGCAGGGACTCCACAGCTAAGCTCACCCTGCTCCCTCTCCCAGCAACAGCTCAGCTCACCCTGCTCCCTCTCCCAGCAACAGCTCAGCTCACCTTGCTCTCTCTCCCAGCAGTTGCTCAGCTCACCCTGCTCCCTCTCCCAGCAGCAGCTCAGCTCACCCTGCTCCCTCTCCCAGCAGCAGCTCAGCTCACCCTGCTCCCTCTCCCAGCAGTTGCTCAGCTTACCCTGCTCCCTCTCCCAGCAGTTGCTCAGCTCACCCTGCTCCCTCTCCCAGCAGTTGCTCAGCTCACCCTGCTCCCTCTCCCAGCAGTTGCTCAGCTCACCCTGCTCTTCTCCCAGCAGCAGCTCAGCTCACCCTGCTCCCTCTCCCAGCAGCTGCAGCTCAGCTCCCTCTCCCCTCAGCTCACCCTCCCTCTCCCAGCAGCAGCTCAGCTCACCCTGCTCCCTCTCCCAGCAGCAGCTCAGCTCACCCTGCTCCCTCTCCCAGCAGCTCAGCTCACCCTGCTCTCCCAGCAGCAGCTCAGCTCACCCTGATCCCTCTCCCAGCAGCAGCTCAGCTCACCCTGCTCCCTCTCCCAGCAGCAGCAGCTCAGCTCACCCTGCTCCCAGCAGCAGCTCAGCTCACCCTGCTCCCTCTCCCAGCAGCAGCTCAGTTCACCCTGCTCCCTCTCCCAGTAGCAGCTCAGTTCACCCTGCTCCCTCTCCCAGTAGCAGCTCAGCTCACCCTGCTCCCTCTCCAGCAGCAGCTCAGCTCACCCTGCTCCCTCTCCCAGCAGTTGCTCAGCTCACCCTGCTCCCTCTCCCCAGCTCAGCTCACCCTGCTCCCTCTCCCAGCAGTTGCTCAGCTCACCCTGCTCCCTCTCCCAGCAGTTGCTCAGCTCACCCTCTCCTCCCTCTCCCAGCAGTTGCTCAGCTCACCCTGCTCCCTCTCCCAGCATTGCAGCTTTGCTCCCAGCAGTTGCTCACCCTGCTCCCTCTCCAAGCAGTTGCTCAGCTCACCCTGCTCCCTCTCTCTCTGCTCAGCTCACCCCGCAGTTGACCCATCACCTCAGCTCACCCTGCTCCCTCTCCCAGCAGTGATTGCTCAGCTCACCCTGCTCCCTCTCCCAGCAGTTGCTCAGCTCACCCTGCTCCCTCCCCCAGCAGTTGCTCAGCTCACCCTGCTCCCTCTCCCAGCTGTTGCTCAGCTCACCCCGCTCCTCAACAATCAGTGACCCATCACCTCAGCTCACCCTGTTCCCTCTCTCAGCAGTGATTCAGCAGCTCATCTCACCCTGCTCCCTCTCCCAGCAGTTGCTCAGCTCACCCTGCTCCCTCTCCCAGCAGTTGCTCAGCTCACCCTGCTCCCTCTCCCAGCAGTTTCTCAGGTCACCTTGCTCCCTAAACCAGCATTGACCCATAAGTTCAGTCCACCCTGTTCCCTCTCCCAGCAGTGACTCAGCAGCTCAGCTCACCCTTCTTCCTCTCAGGGCAGCAGGTACACAAGAAGACAGGAGAGCATTGCAATGAGACCTGACCTGAACTAATTTATTGCTTCTCTCAGGATGAATTGTTCCACAGTGGCTGCAACTACAAAGGTCAGTGAGGGATTGTCATAAAGCTTGCTTACGGCTTGTTACAAATATGTCCATATCCTGGCTACAGGTTCACATCAGATACGTCTTGGTATGGGGACATTTCTTACAGGACACCGTATTATTTTTATAAATATTTTTCAAGCGAACCGTTATCGGTTTAAATCGGTAAGAATATTATCTGATATCATTTCTATGTAATTTGCTATTATGAATTATCATTCAAAGTGACAGAGGCGCCTTTAAGACGCATAGGAGTACCACCGGGGAATGACTCAAGCTCTGCATCTCCCGAGGTCAGCTGAGAAGAATAATTGCCGTTTCTGTCTTTCTAGATTTGCCATAAATTTGGGGAAAGATCCGAAGAATTATCTGCTACACTTTAATGCTCGATTCGACCTCCATGGAGACAGCCACAAGATAGTCTGCAACTCGAAGGAGGACAACAACTGGGGAGCGGAGCAGAGGGAGAGCTTCTTCCCCTTCCAGGAGGGGTCAGAAACCTCGGTATGTCCACATTGGGAGGGGCAGGACCAACCTTGTATGGGGCAAAGTGGCAACACCTCTTGGTGGAGATCAAGCTGAAGAGGGGGTTCCTCTTGCACCTTTATTTAGTCCAACACCCCTGGTAGTGGAGATGTGAGGGCACAGAGTGGCATGAGGGCCGATGCAGTGGCCAGCACCAGCTGCAGGATACAGATGGCCAAGGTTCACCAGACAGGGATCAGAGACCAGTACACAGGAGGGGTCAGAAACCTCGGTACATCCACACTGGGAGGGGCAGGACCAACCTTGTATGGGGCAAAGTGGCACCACCTCTATCTTGGTGGAGATCAAGCTGAAGAGGCGGTTCCTCTTGCACTTTTTTGTCTAACACCACTGGTAGTGGTGGTAGAGGTGTGAGGGCACAGAGTGGCATGAGGGCCAATGCACGGGCAGCACCAGCTGCAGGATTCAGATGCCCAAGGATCACCAGACAGGGATCAGGGAAAAGAATAGAAAAAAATTAATGGAAAATAAAAGAATAGAATAGAAAATAAAACAATAGAAAAGAATAGATTAAAACAGAACAGAATAGAATAAAACAGAACTGAAAATAAAAGAATAGAATACAAAACAGAACATAATAGACTAAAACAGAATAGAAAATAAATAATAGCATAAAATAGAATAGAAAATAAGGGAAAATAATAGAAAAAATTAATGGAAAATAAAAGAATAGAATAAAACCTATAGAAAAGAAAAGAATAGAGTAAAACAGAACAGAATAGAATAGAAAAGAACTGAAAGTAAAATAATAGAATAAACCAGAATAAAAAATAAGGGAAAAGAATAGAAAAAAATTAATAGAAAAAATAAAAGAATGGAATAAAATAGAATAGAAAAGAACAGAGCAAAAAAAAACAGAATAGAATAGAATAAAATAGAATCGAAAATAAGGGAAAAGAATAGAAAAAAAAGAATAGAATAAAATAGAAAATAAAACCATAGAATAGAAAAGAACAGGCTAAAACAGAACAGATTAGAATAGAAAATGAAACAATAGAATAAAATAGGAAATAAAAGAATGGAGTAAAACAGGACAGAACAGATTAGAAAATAAAAGAATAGAATAAAACAGAATACAAAAGAAGATAAAAGAATAGAAAAAAATAGAACAGATTTAGTCCGAAATTTGGATTTGAATTCGAAAACAATTTCAACATTGCTGATTTCCTATAAAAAAAAAGGCTGTGTGCATTATGCAGGCCATAGACGGGTTGAAAATTGGCTATTTAAAAAAAAAAAAAATGAAAAATCGGTCGTTCGATCGGCCGACGTTACCACCAACGGTAAAAAAAAATCTGCAATTTTCATCCCGTCTACGGCCGGCATTTTTACTTCTGTCCCTGCAGAGAGCTCCGCTATTATATTTAACATGAAAAGTCTTGCGGTTGCAACAATGTATCCATTTGTATCCATTTGTATCCATTTGTTTCCATTTCGGATACAGATGTCTTTATTCGGATACAAATAGATACATTGTTGCAACCGCAAGACTTTTCATGTAAAATACAATAGCGGACTGGAATTCTTCTTCTTCTTGCAGGTCACGGCTCATGCGCAGATTTTTTATTGGTAAAACGATCGGCTGATTTGCCCATCATTGCCGGTAAAATTGACCGATTGTCAAAATCCGCCACAAATTTTCCAACTTTACTGATAAAAAAAATGTGCCAAAACCCCGAAAAACGGCCAACCAATGAACCCACTATCGGTGTGAAAATCGGCTGATTTTTTCTTTTCGGGACGAAAAATCAGCCAATTTTCGACTCGTCTATGGCCTGCATTAGTATCAGAATATAGACATCTTCCGAAATTTCTAAAAGAATAGAATAAAACAGAATAGAATAGAAAGAGTAAAATAGAATAGAATAGCAAAAACAATAGAATAGAATAGAATACATTTTGGGGTGGGGGGGGGGAGACTCCATTTGGTATCTTCGCCCTGGACGCTGGATGACCTTGTCCCGGCCCCGGGTGGCAGAGTCTCTTAGTCCCTATGGCCAATATTTGTTGGCTTTTTATAGTCGTCCATCCTAGTGCCAGGCTGACACCGTGCCTCCTCTCTCCTTCCAGATTTGCTTCAAGTTTGAGCAGGACAACATCAAGGTCCAGCTATCCTCCGGAGAGAATTTCTCATTTCCATCCCGCTTCCCCGCAGAGGAGATCGAGTTCCTGTCCTTGGAAGGCCTCCAGCTCAAGTGCCTGACACTAGAATGAGGAATCCGGCAGCAGAGGAGCCGCCCGTCCCGCGTCTCCATATCCAGGCCGGAGTGAACGAAGAAAAAAAAAATTGTTTTGTACCCCCCCCCCCCCCCCCCCAACCTCCCCTCCCCCCTACCCAATCTGTACCCTTGCTGCTCATATACAGCGTGCTTTGCTCAGTCCATTTATTAGAAATGAATTTCACCCACATTTCTATACCCGGCGAGCTCTCTAGTGCCGGAGCCAACCGCTCCTTTGATCGTCCAGCCAGTGACACCGACTTTGGATCGATTGCCGCAGTCGCTGCCTGATGCATGGCGCCCCCTGCTGGAGGACTGCGGCATTACTTTTTTGTTAAATGCACGCAGTAACCCACAGATGGCGCTCATGCTGCACTTTCTGATTTCTTGAATTTCCAGTAAAACGATAAAAAAAATCTTTTTGAACTTTTGTGTTTTTTTAAAGCTTTTCTGGATAAAATATGTACACAGGTAGTTCTTTCCACTTTTAACCATAAAACCGAAAAAAAAGTAAATTTCAGAAAGGCCCAAATGATATGTTAAAACCCCCCCCGCCTACCGGGCCCTTCTACCCCCTTCCTGCCTACCGGGCACTTCTATCCCCTTCCTGCCTACAGGACACTTCTACCCCCTTCCTGCCTACCGAGCACTTCTACCCCCTTCCTGCCCCCCGGGCACTTATACCCCCTTCCTGCCTACAGGGCACTTCTACCCCCTTCCTGCCTCCGCTGCCTACCGGGCACATCTACCCCCTTCAGGGGCACTTCTACCCCCTTCCTGCCTACAGGGCACTTCTACACCCCCTTCCTGCCTACCAGGTACTTCTACCCCCTTCCTGCCTACCGGGCACTTCTACCCCCTTCCTGCCTATTGGACACTTATACCCCCTTCCTGCCTACCGAGCACTTCTACCCCCTTCCTGCCCCCCGGGCACTTATACCCCCTTCCTGCCTACAGGGCACTTCTAACCCCCTTCCTGCCTACAGGGCACTTCTACCCCCTTCCTGCCTACAGGGCACTTCTACCCCCTTCCTGCCTACCGGGCACTTCTACCCCCTTCCTGCCTACAGGGCACTTCTACCCCCTTCCTGCCTACCAGGTACTTCTACCCCCTTCCTGCCTACCGAGCACTTCTACCCCCTTCCTGCCTACAGGACACTTCTACCCCCTTCCTGCCTACAGGGCACTTCTACCCCCTTCCTGCCTACCGAGCACTTCTACCCCCTTCCTGCCTACCGGGCACTTCTACCCCCTTCCTGCCTACCGGGCACTTCTACCCCCTTCCTGCCTACCGGGCACTTCTACCCCCTTCCTGCCTATAGGGCACTTCTACCCCCTTCCTGCCTTCAGGGCACTTCTACCCCCTTCCTGCTTCTGCCTACTGGACACTTCTACCCCCTTCCTGCCTACAGGGCACTTCTACCCCCTTCCTGCCTACCGGACCCTTCTACCCCCTTCCTGCCTACCGGGCACTTCTACCCCCCTTCCTGCCTACGGGCACTTCTACCCCCTTCCTGCCTACCGGGCACTTCTACCTCCTTCCTGCCTACCGGGCACTTCTACCCCCCCCTTCCCGCCTACAGGACACTTCTACCCCCTTCCTGCCTACAGGGCACTTCTACCCCCTTCCTGCCTACAGGGCACTTCTACCCCCTTCCTGCCTACAGGGCACTTCTACCCCCTTCCTGCCTACAGGACACTTCTACCCCCTTCCTGCCCAGGCCAATTTTCAGCTTTCAGCTTTCAGCGCTGTCGTACTTGGAATGACAATTGCGCGGTCATGCAACACTGTACCCATATGACATTTTTATAATTTTTTTCTCACCAATAGAGCTTTCTTTTGGTGGTATTTACTCCCCCACTGGGGGTTTTATTTTTGTGCTATAAACAAAAAAAAGAGCAAAAAAAATTTGAAAAAAAAAAAGTTTTTCTTTGTTTCTGTTATAAAATTTTGCAAACAGGTAATTTTTCTCTTTCACTGATGTGCGTTGATGAGGCTGCACTGATAGGCGGCACTGATGAGGTGGCACGGATAGGCAGCATTGATAGGCGGCACCGATGAGGTGGCACGGATAGGCAGCACTGATAGGTGGCACTGGATTTGCAGCACTGTTGAGCTGGCACTGATGGGTGGCACTGACTGATGGCACTGACTGGTGGCACGGATGGCACTGACTGGAAGCACTGATGAGCACTGGTGGCGGGCATTGGTGGGCACTGATGGGCACATGTGGGTGGCACTGATGGGCACACAGGTGGGTGGCACTGATGGGCACAGGTGGGTGGCACTGATGGGCACAGGTGGGTGGCACTACTGGGCACATGTGGGTGGCACGGATGGGCACAGGTGGGTGGCACTACTGGGCACATGTGGGTGGCACTGATGGGTACAGGTGGGTGGCACTGCTGGGCACAGGTGGGTGGCATGGATGGGCACAGGTGGGTGGCACTACTGGGCACTGCTGGGCACAGGTGGGTGGCACTGATGGGCACATGTGGGTGGCACTCATGGGCACAGGTGGGTGGCACTGATGGCCACATGTGGGTGGAACTCATGGCACAGATAGGTGGCACTGATGAGCACAGGTGGGTGGCACTGATGGGCACAGGTGGGTGGCACTGCTGGGCACAGGTGGGTGGCACTGCTGGGCACGATCATCAGGGCACTGCCGATCCCTGCTCTGACAACTGCCGGTTCTCGGCAGTACTTTCCCCACGTTCTGACAGCGTGAGGAAAGTGCAGCCAATAACCGGCAATTGCATTTCCCGGTGATCAGCGTGTCATTGGACACGGCTGATCAAGTGGTAAAAGGCCGCTGTGATTGGCCTTTTACCACATCACGTGATCAGCTGTGTCCGTAGGATACAGCAATCACGGAGATCGCCGCGTGTCCCCCCCGAGGGGCACCCAGGAGAGCATGTTCTGGGAGGACGTCATATGACATCCTCCTAGAACTGGCCGGCCGCGCAGCCGTCATTCAGCTATCTGCGGTCGGCAAGAGGTTAAATAAATACAGAAGAAGAGCAGCCGCAGCGGGAATCGGCCGGCACAGGCGGTGGTCGGGTAGGGGCGGTAGTTGCGGCAGTGAATGTTGTAGTGAATGTTGTAGTGAATGTTGTAGTACCATAGTACAGCCAGGGGGGGTGCTAGAGCTAAGAGTTACTGCAGAGTTACACACACGCCAACAGTCTGTGGAACAGGATAGCCAAAGTAGAGACCTGACCCCTGATGGCCCCTGATGGTCCCAAGGGCCAATTGTTGGTCCACATCCAGCTTCAGAAAAGAGAGGATCCTCCTACAGATGGGATGAAGGCTCGTGGACTCCACCTAAATTATGCTGTCCGTGTTCAGTGATGGGTGAACCTTCAGCACCGCATGGAATGACAGATCCTGCCATGTTCCTGTCCATGCAACTTTCTACTGAAAGAGAGGATGAGGAGCGCACACACCTGGCTCTCCATCCCTGCCGGGGCCCCTGGTGTCACTCCATCACGTTGGCCCCAATAATGCCATCGCCCGGGGAAACCAAAACTAAAACAAGTGCAATAGGAATATTGCTGGAAAAAGTGACCTACACTGACACATGGATCACTGTGCTGGGCCTACAGACATTGGTTGGAGGTCGGCAATCATACATAGTGGTTGGGGTGAGGTCGGACGTAGAACATAGAGGGAGGTCAACCATGGAACATAGATGGAGGTGGGTCATGGTACATGATAGAGGGAGGTCCACCATGGAACATAGATGGAGGTGGGTCATGGTAGAGGGAGGTCAACCATGGAACATAGATAGGTGGGTCATGGTACATGATAGAGGGAGGTCAGTCATGGAACATAGATGGAGGTGGGTCATGGTAGAGGGAGGTCAACCATGGTACATAGATGGAGGTGGGTCATGGTACATGATAGAGGGAGGTCAACCATGGAACATAGATGGAGGTGGGTCATGGTACATGATAGAGGGAGGTCAACCATGGAACATAGATGGAGGTGGGTCATGGTACATGACAGAGGGAGGTCAACCATGGAACATAGATGGAGGTGGGTCATGGTACATGACAGAGGGAGGTCAACCATGGAACATAGATGGAGGTGGGTCATGGTACATGATAGTGGGAGGTCAGTCATGGAACATAGATGGAGGTGGGTCATGGTACATGACAGAGGGAGGTCAACCATGGTACATAGATGGAGGTGGGTCATGGTACATGATAGAGGGAGGTCAGTCATGGTAAATAAATAGACGTTGGTCATGGTACATAGGGAGAGGTGAGTTTTCATGGTACATAGATGGAGGTGGGTCATGGTACATAGGGAGAGGTGAGTCTTCATGGTACCTAGATGGAGGTTGGAAATTGAACATAGAGGTACATAGTCAGGATACATGGAGGTCAGTCATTGTACAAAGATGGAGGTCAGTCATCGCAGATGGAGGTTGCTCATTGTACAAAGATGGAGGTCAGTCATCACAGAGGGAGGTTGCTCATTGTACAAAGATGGAGGGCAGTCATCACAGAGGGAGGTTGCTCATTGTACAAAGATGGAGGGCAGTCATCACAGAGGGAGGTTGCTCATTGTACAAAGATGGAGGGCAGTCATCACAGAAGGAGGTCAGTCATCACAGATGGAGGTCTGTCATTGTACAAGATGGAGGTCAGTCATCACAGAGGGAGGTCTGTCATTGTACAAAGATGGAGGTCAGTCATCACAGAGGGATGTCGCTCATTGTACAAAGCTGGAGGTCAGTCATCACAGATGGAGGCTGCTCATTGTACAAAGATGGAGGTCAGTCATCACAGAGGGAGGACTGTCATTGTACAAAGATGGAGGTCAGTCATCACAGATGGAGGCTGCTCATTGTACAAAGATGGAGGTCAGTCATCACAGAGGGATGTCGCTCATTGTACAAAGATGGAGGTCAGTCATCACAGATGGAGGCTGCTCATTGTACAAAGCTGGAGGCCAGTCATCACAGATGGAGGCGCTCATTGTAC